TGCACCTGTGGCAAGCCAACAGGGATCGAAGACGCCTACGGCGAATCACCAGCGCCCCCTGCCTTAGGAGGAGAGAGGAGGATGATATTAGGAGGCGGAGGAGGAGGAGGAGGAGGAGGAGGAGGAGGAGGAGGAGGAGGAGGAGGAGGAGGAGGTGGTGAAGCAGGAGGAGCATGAGCAGGAGGAGGAGCAGAAGGAGGAGGAGGAGGTGGAGAGGAGGAGGGAGGATCAGGAGAGGGAGGGGGAGGGGGAGGAGGGGAATGGATGGGGTAGGAGGGGTAGGAGGAGGAGAGAGAGAGGAGAGGAGAGGAGGAGGAGGCGAGGAGGAGGAGAAGGCGAGAAGGAACGAGGAGAGAGGAGAAAGAGGGAGGAGAGGAGGAGGAGGAGAGGAGGAGAGGAGAGGGAGGAAGAGGAGGAGGCGAGGCGGAGGAAAGGAGAGGATAGGGAGGAGTAGGAGGAGGAGGAGAGGAGAGGAGGAGGAGAAGGAGAGAGGAAGGAGGAGGAGGAGGTCTCTTGGGACCCTCTTTGGGCACTCTTGGGGCCTCTTGGGAGCTTCCCAGGAGCCTCTTGGATGCCTCTTGGGTGCTTTTGGAAGCTTCTTCAGGGGCTCTGTGGCTGTTTGAGGGCTCTCGTGGCCCGCCTGACGCCGTCTGGCGCAGTCTTCTGTGCCTCTCTGGGCCGACTTCGGGCCCTCTTGGGGCGCTTCAGGGCCGTCTTGGATGTCATCTTGGGCATCTTGGAGGTCTCCTGGGCTGTCTTGGGCCCTCTTAGGGGCGTCTTGGGGGCCTCTTGGGCCGTCAGGGGGGCCATCTCGGACACCTTTTGGAAGATCTCGGGGCCATCTTGCGGGCCTCTGGGGCCATCTTGGGCAGTCGGAAAGCCGAAATTGAGCAAGCGCCAGAATTTTTCGAACACATGCGGGAAATTTGGCATGTTGGCCTCTTGGGGCCTTCCTGGAGGTCCTCTTGGAGGCCGCTATGCCGTCTTGGAGGCCTCTTGGGCAACCTTGAGGCCACCTTGGGCCATCATGGGGGCATGGTGGCCCGTCTTGAAGAATCCATCTTGGAGCCATCTTTGGCCGTCTTGGGGCCATTGTAGCCGTCTTGGAGGCCATCGTGGATGTCTTGGAGGCTATCTTGGGGCCGTCTGGAGCGGGATGACCGACGACCTGGGCAGCTTACGGGTCTTCGCGGAGGCGTTGTTTTTGACGATGAGGTCGTCATGCGTTCTTGCGCGCCCTTCCGCGTACTTCCGGGCGGCCGGCGGGTTGGACCGAGGGCCCCTCGGAACCTTTAGAAGAGCCAAACTTACCGATCGTCCAGCACGAATGCCGTGCACCCCTGTGGCAAGCCAAGAGGGGGGCGGCGGATCGAAGACGCCTACGGCGAATCACCAGCGCCCCCCGCCTTTCAGGATGCGCCCACGTGGCTGAATATTTGGGCAAAGTTTGGCCACTCTATTGGATCATGCGTTCCCCCGGCCGTTGTGGAAGCCCGTCGGAGAACACGTGGGGGAGAAAGATGAGGATGAGAGGGAGGAAAAATTGGATGAGGAGAAGGATGAGGAGACCTCTTGGGAGCTTTTCGGGTCATTCTCGGGGCCTCCTGGGAGCTTCCTGGGGCCCTCTTGGAGACTCTTGGGGACCTCCTTGGGCTTCTTGGGGGCCTTGGGGGGCTTCCTGGGGGCCTCTTTGGCCGTCTTACGGCGTTCCTGATCCGACTGACGCCGTCTGACGCCGTCTTGGAGCCTTTTTGGGGGCCGTCTTGGTTTTAGGGCGCTTCAGGGTCGTTTTAAAGACCATCTCGGGCGTCTTGGAGGCCTCTTGGGCTGTCTTAGGGGTACTCTGTGGGCTGTCTTAGGGGTCCTCTGTGGGCGTCCTGGGGCCATCCTGGATCCTAGACGTTTCTGAGCGATTTGGGGGCAATCTTGGGGGCCCCTGGGGCCGTCTTGGGCAGTTGGAAGGCCGTTTTGAAGCAAATGTCCAGATCTTTCAACAGCCTCAAGTGCAAAGAATGATCTTGGCCTCTTCGGGCCCTCCTGCGGGCCCTCCTGGAGGCCTCTTGGGCCGTCTTGGAGGCCTCTTGGCAGCTTCTTGGGCCATCTTGGGCCATCTTGAGGCCATCTTAGGCTGTCTTGAGTGCATCTTGGGCCGTCTTGTGAGACGTCTTTCGGCCATTTTTGGGCTCTCTCGGAGCCTTCAGGGCCGTCTTTTGGAGGCGTCTTGGGGCTCTCTTGGAGGCCATCTTGGGCCACCTTGGCCATCCTGCCGGCGAGCTCGGCAGCGGGCTCGGGATTGTTCGGCGGCTTCCCGGGTGGGTGGCGGGCCGGGCCGAGACCCCACGCGGGGAGTTCGTTGGAGCATG